TCATCGAAGACCCATCCGTCATAGCAGGAGTCAGCAACAAACCATATGCCGGGCGCATCTTCCACTTCTACCAACATGCTTGGTGGAAGCTTCCGTTCTTTTGACCGTTTTAGGAACTTAGGGCAAGTAGGATCGATTCCCAAATGATCCTGTTCTCTGCAACGAAAACAGATCGGGGAGGTTCTGGTCGATATCCTCACCTCCACAACCCTGTTTTCTATGTGGAACTTCCAGACTGATGGGAGCACCGGGGGATCATCTGTTTGTACGTCCAGAACTGCTGTCATGGTTCCGCAGTGAGGAGCCAGGAATTCTGGCGTCGGTAGGATCCATTTAAGAATTTTATTCGCTGTATACTGCCTTTCTAGTCTATCGACCAGCATACCGTGAAATCCAGGTTGAATATTGTCAAATTGAACCCAAAAATTCTCTTTCAGCAGAGTTTGTTTGTAGGACACTTCAAATACCAAGTTTTGTTTTTGGACTGACACCTTCTTCCATGTGGTGATGGTGCACACTTAACCGTGACAGTTCCTGGACTGCATTTCAACTGCGATCCGTGCGTGGTCTTCATGGATGAAGAGTACCATAATGTTATTCCGACCCAAGTTTTGTAGAAAGTAGGTGTCCCCAATCTGTTTGAGTTTCAGTTCCTTTTTTATCGTTTCGATTATCCACTTCCTCTTTTCCACTGGTTGGAGATCTGCTCCATGGCGTGTAAAGTTGAACACTACTCCATGCCTTTCGTGCAGATCATCCAATTCGACAATCTTTTCCTCTGGATATTTCCAGATGACAACCTCCTCTTCCTTCCCGTCTACTATCTGCTTTTCCGTAGACTCAATACCTTGAACTTTCGTCTTCTCAATTAAAAATTTGAGGGCTTAGTTATCAATGACATTGATGATCTTTTCCAATGACTCCGGGTCCGTAGGGACCATGGTTTGCGTTGGGTTGGCCATCTTTTTCTAGGACGTCCTCGATCCTTTCTATGTCTCCTACCACGACGTCCGTCACACCTTTGCGGGGCGCTAGGGGCGAGGGGCTGATCGGTGAGAGAAGTTCAATAGAGTGATAATGAATGTCAGACGAGGTCAATCTGAGTGGGATCTTAGTTAGAGGGGGGGAAGGGGGAAGGGCCTTATTGCCAACGGAGGGTGTGTATATGTGTGTGTGTGTGTGTGTGTGTGTGTGTGTGTGTGTGTGTGTGTGTGTGTGTGTG